GACGTCTGCTCGCCATCGCACTTGTAGTCTACGCTCGAGTCCGCTCATTGCCATGAACCTGTCGCTCTACACGGTCACCGCGTTCCTCATCATCGACACCGACGGCCATCGCGTTCTCGCGAAATACTACCACCCCAAGGGACACCCGAATGGCGAGTCGAAGAAGCTCACGACCCTGAAGGAGCAGAGGGCGTTCGAGAAAGGGCTGTTTCAAAAGACGAAGAAGGCGGGAGGTACGTCCTCGACTGGTGTGTATCGTGCCCTCCACCGCTCATCGCTGTCCTGACGCGTTTGTGTGACGTGCCGCTCCGTATATGCGCATTATCCAGGCGACATCATCCTGTACGACTCGCATCTCGCAGTCTACAAGCACTCGCTGGACCTCATCTTCTACATCGTCGGCGACCCGACGGAGAACGAACTCATGCTGAACGCTGCACTGGTCGCGTTCTCCGACGCGGTGATGCTGCTTTTGCGCAACCAAGTAGAGAAGCGCGGAGTGCTTGAGAACCTGGATCTCGTTCTCCTTTGTTTAGACGAGACAATCGACGACGGGTGAGTGACCTTCCACACCCGTTGGCTCCTACGCGGCGGACCCAGCTCGTACATGGTACACTAACGCATATATGTACTAGAATTATCGTAGAAACCGACTCGACGACGATCGCCTCCCGGGTCAGCCGGCCAAGGGCAGACACTACGGAGATCGTGATCAACGAGCAGACGATCCTGAGCGCATACCAGACGGTGAAGGAGAAGATGCAGCAGAGGATAGGGCAGCTTTAGGGCAGTTGCGTTGTATATGTGCGTCTTCCTTCCCTGTTCTGTTGGTGTTGCACGCTCACTGCCTGGCCAGTTAGTATTCCCGCCTATTTACTCCGGATGAAACTTCTGAGCGCTGAGCTGCGCTGGCAAACAAGCCACCCCACTTGACAGGCTCTGGCCCGTGTATGTGCGACCTGAAGATTACCACCTCCCCGTGATGCTCGTGGGTGCGGGCACCGTCGCTCAAAACGCAAGGTGTTACTTATTTGAAGGGAGGCAGACATGACGTGAAGCCGATGTCTGGGGCTGCCAAGGTGTGTGCCTGTCCTTGCTTTCCAGGTTGCTCCCAGAGACGTCGTCGCCACAACACGCATCCGCATATCCAGCTGGGAGCCAGCGACCGATGTTCCCCGGGCCAGGTCGCACAAGTAGTCACCAAATATCCCCTTACCGCGGCGCGCTGCAATGCGTGCGTTCCAGCTGGCCATGGCAATTCTTCCATAGAACTGAACCTAGCGTGCATCACCCCGAGCGAAAGTGTCGCGATCCGTCGCCCCCGACCCATTGGCTTGCCGCCTCGGGTGTCGTTTTCGCCTTTGGCCGATGGCAACTTAGGCTGAGGTTGGTTCCGCGGGTCCGACGTCGACGGTAAGTTTGTCACTGCACATTGACTGCTACATCAAGTCTCGGTATGGATACCCTGAACGAACGTGCGAGCATGTTTAGCTCACTCGCATGAGTAGCCTCGTGCACGTCCACGTTCAATCTGCGACTTCTCTCGAGTCCTTCTCTCACCTATCGCGGCAGGAAGCTTAAGATCGGTGAAGATTCTGCTGCAACATATGCGGCGGGACACCTTTGCGTCCGTTGCGCTAGACCAGCTAATCGGAACGTGGGCACTCGGTCGGCGTTACTTACGACTGATAAGTACGAGAATCCACGTGGATCTCGCTATGCAACAGCTGATCCGCTTCTCCCCATCAGTCCGCCGCTCTGACATCAATCCGAGACCAGTATAGAATCCTGCCAACCAAGTATCCGAACGGCACGTAACGCATCGCCCCTGACGCAGCGCAGGTATAAGTACCCTGAGCGACATCCCGACGCGTCTCCAGTCGCCCCGCCAGCCTGACTCAAAGCTCGCCCCCGCGATGCAACTCACGTCGCTACTCGCGTTCACTCTTGCGGCGCTCGCGGTCCGCGCGTGTCCCGGCGAAGAACACGACCATGCGCACGCGCATGCGCACGAACACGCACGGCGCGCCTATCCCAAGACGCACCTCGCCCCGCCTACCAGGCCGCTCGTCTGGGGCGACGTGAACATCATCCACACCACCGACAGCCATGGCTGGCTCCTCGGGCACCAGAAGAGCTCGTTCCCCGAGCCGAACTACAGGTGAGTCGCGACGCGTCTTAGGTCGGTTCCTCGCAGGCGGAGAGCGGGTTGGTGACGCGGCATGGAACACATAGTGGCGACCTGGGCGACTTCGCGTCTTTTGTGACGCACATGAAGCAGCTCGCGCTGGTGAGTCCTTACGCGTTGCAGTGGGGCGTGGCTGCGGACTGACCTCCGGTGTAGGAAAAGGATGTCGATCTTCTCTTGGTCGACTCCGGTGACTTGCACGACGGTGCGCGTGGCTTCCTTACGCGTCCTCAGAGCTGACACTGACATGAGCTTGAACGTCAGGTACCGGCTTGTCGGACGGTTTCCCTCCTGGCGGAGTCGATGGTCACGAGGTGAGTTGATTCGGTGGGTGCGTCAGCGGGCGAGAACCTCAAACGGTTTCGCAGTCGAACAAATTCCTGTTCGAGCTGCCCTACGACGTTATGGCTATCGGCAAGTAAGTGCGCCTCTGTTTTTTCTATAGCGCGAATATAACGAGAGTCCAGCCATGAATTGTACATCTACAACAACACGTACGATATGTACAAGACCTTTGCCCCGAAGCTGAACGGCCGCTACCTGTCTTCGAATGTCAACATTACCGTCCTTGACAAGTTCGGGAAGAGCGTCAGCGTGCCTGTCGGTGGTATGTACACCCCTCGCCACACCGCGCATTTGCTGACAGTCTTCGGCAGAGCGCTACGTGAAGTTCAAGACTCGCAAGTGCGTCCCTCCCTCCCTCTAATCTTGACCTCTGCGTTGACTATTCTGGCACAGGGGTCGGAAGGTCACATCGCTCGGAGTCCTATTCGACTTTACGGGCAACGACGTGAACACCACCGTGCAAAAGGTCGAGGACATGGTGAAGGAGCACTGGGTACGTGTCTCAGTACTGTGCTGTCGGTCATCCCTGAACGCACATCTGCTCCCAGTTCGCCGAGGCGATCAAGGAGGAGCCCGACTTCTTTCTACTAGCCGGGTTCGCCGATCTCAGCTTCTTCGTCCATGGCCTTCAGTGCTGATGAAGTGTTTCAGACACATGCCCGTTTCGAAGGACAACTGGCCGACGGTGTTCAATGCCGTTCGTGCCGTCCACCCGACCACACCAATCCTCATTCTCGGAGGTAGGAGTACTCATTACGTTCTATTTCATCTACTTGCTCATTGTTGCGCAGGGCACACTCACATCCGTGATTGCGGTAAGGCCGGGTGCAGTTTCTGATCATCTGCTGCGTGCTGACAATTGTCATTAGTCCAATTTGATGGCCGCTCCATGGCTCTGGAAAGTGGTCGCTACATGGAGACAGTTGGTACGATCTTTTCGTCGCACACGCGCGACTAGGTGTTGACGTATCCTTTCAGGTTGGATGAGTGAGTGCGGTGAAGGAAGCTGGATCGGACCTCCCTGACGTGATCTTTCGAGGCGCGAATCTTGACCACAAGGGGTCCAAGAAGAACATCACCTTCTCCCGTCGTTATCTCGACCCCAACCGTGTAACTTACGAGGTAAACTTTGCACCTCATCATGGCCAAGACACCGCCTCACTGGGCACGGTAGTACCACACTGGCCGAGGCAACTTCACCTTTGACACGCAGACAGGCAAGTCCATCACCAAAGGCCTCAACAACCTCGCGGAAGAGTTCGATCTCAACCAGCTCTTCGGCACCGCCCCGGAAGACTACACGATCAGCCAGTATGTCTTCCCTGCACCCAGACATTTCGTTCTTCCTGACCATCCTAACCATCGATGCCAGGGTGCCCTTCCCGTCGAACGGCTCGCTCCTCTCGCTCTACGCTGAGGCGATGAAGTACTCGCTCACCGTCAACAACTCGCGCGCGAGCAAGCAGAACATCATGATCACGAACTCGGGCTCGCAGCGCTTCGATGTCTACTCCGGCCCCTTCACGAAGAACGACCAGCTCACATCGTCGCCCTTCGCCGACTCGTTCCTCTATATTCCCGACGTCCCGGTCTCGATCGCAAGCCAAGTCCTCCCCGCGCTGAACCACGCTGGTGCGAACGAGCGCCGCGCCCTCATCGAGGAGTACGAACGCGAGCGCTATGCGCGCGGCGACGTCGACATGCGCTATTTGGCGTGGCTCAAGGAGATGGACCGCCGGAACCATGGTGCTGAGCGTCGCGCCGCGAACAACGCGACGCTTGGGTATGTGACCTCTGACGTACGTCGGTCCTGCCTCTCCTCGAATGCTTTGGAACTGATTTTCTTCGCGTGTTGCATTGGACAGTCCTGTCCTGGCGTAGGTGACGATGTTATCCACTCGCCGCTGGTACGTCCCGTCTCCCCTCGTGCTCGCATGCGGCATCCCGCTCACCACTGCATCATCATGCTTCAGCCTTTCTTCTCTTTCCCGGACTTCATCGGCACGGATGCGCCCAGCGATCTCCCCGCCGACGCGCCCGTCGACCTCGTCTTCGTCGACTTCATCGAGTCGCAGCTGCTCGAGATCCTCAACGGGCTCCAGAGCGACAAGAAATACTCGTCTGCGGACGTCCAGTCGTACACCTCCGTTCTCGCAAGTGCGGTCCTCGGCATCTATGCTGAGAAGTATTGGAACTAGGCTATGCCGTGGCTGCTCATGTACCATTTGCTACTCATGGTCGAACAATACCACTAGTACTGAATGCTCGTCGACTACATATGATCTATTCACCTGGTCACAACGTATCGAAACAAAAATACTCGTGTCCTATAGGGCGCTTCCTTAGGCATGCGATCCGTCGCAAGTGATTTAGCTCTTCATGCAGATTGGACACTTCCGACACGACAGACCGACTTCGGAACGGGGACTGATACCAGCCAAACTAAAAACTATTCGTCATGCTGTTATGGACATGTCCGGGATTGAACCGGACCCCTCTCGCAAGCAAACGCACCGGAATGCTAAACATGCTAAGCGAGCGTGATAACCAACTACACCACATGCCCATACCTGCCAATACTTGGTGCTATTACGTGTTCAACAGCATATTTGTGTGGCACATTCAGCACATTCTCAAAGGCAACATCCACCGCAGTACAGCAACATTCAAGTCGAAAATCCCCAAGTTGGCTGAAGCTCCTGCTCGTTCGTCCTCTGAGATCATAGATGGAGCCGGGATGAGCACGGCTGAATTAATGAAGACCTATGTAAGTACACGGGCTGGTAAGTAATACACGATCGAAGGGAGGACGACGGCAGGTAAGTGTCTAAGACGGAGAGAAGAGAGTAACGTACTACTGATACACAAAACACAAGAAGACGGGCGACAACGAGGGCGACAGCAAGCGAGACAGAGGACGATGCGCAGACGAGGTACAAAGATGTAATGTGATATGTGATGAATAACTTTATGCGGTGATGGTTCGCCGCCAGTAGGTTACAACAGAGCTTCAGAGTTCAGGACGGAGCCCGCACCAGAACTGAGGAGAACGTGGGCCAGGGGTGAGGGGAAGTGGAGGAGTGAGCAGGACGACCGCAGGCGTGCCCGTGGATGAATGAGTGAAGGATGTACGCGTTCGCTTCATGCCTCGTGTCGTTTCGCGCACCAGCGCGACGCGAGCAAGTAGCGGATAGCGAACTGAGTGGGGAGAGCACGCGCGCAGCGACGGAGATGGGTGACGCAGGAGGGGGAAAGGAATGGGAGTCCGTGGGGGAGTGGGGGGGGAGGGGTTCGAACAGACGAGACTGGGAGACAGACGTCTTTTACCGGAGCACAGTGGATGGAGGCGGGAGGCCGCTCATACGAGCACGTCCAGATTGGCCTTCATTGTTATTCGTCAGCCTTCCCGTCTCGCCTTACAAAGTAAACATGAGTACGCACCGCTTCCCTCGCAACCGATTCCAGCGCTCGGGGGATCGTCTTCGGCGCCTTGAGCTGGTTCGCGAGTTCCGCAGTACTGTCTTCGGGTACCCAGGGCAGTTCCGATCGTCTCTCGGGCGATGACGCTTCTGATGAAGCCGATTCCTCCAGCTCTGCCGCTATTGCCGCAGTCGCGAAGCCGTCTACTTTCACTGCATCGTCGGTGGGTTCGACAGCGTCGACCGTCGTAGTACTTGCGTCGGTCGTAGCAGAGCGTGCGGATGTGAGGGCGGAAATGAGGAAGTCTATGACTTGCATTGACTCTTGTGAGAAGCCGCCGGGTGGGATTTGCAGCGTTGGAGTGATGCTGGCGTCGTCGGACTGCATATCGTAATGTGAGTGGCGACATCTGAGCGATAACATCAAAGCAACACACCGTGTCAGAACTTCCAGTAGGCAGGGCGTACAAGCATCCCATCTGACGACAACCCCGAGCCGCGAGATGCTGGCGCAAAAGATCAGCAAACAGAGATCGCAGAGTCAGGAAGGCGGCGACGTACCAGAGAAGGAGATGCTGCATTGGGAATAGGCGCAGCATAGGATACGGGAAAGGCTGCACAAGACGGTCAGGCATGCGTCAACGCAGCAGGAATGATGCGCACGTACCACCGACGAAGAGCGCAGAGATGGCGAAGGTGCGGGTGAGAATGAAAGTAGGGACCATGGTGACTCAGAAGCAAAGCGAGTATTCGAGGAGAGAACGAAAAGTAGGAGAGGAGTTGGTGAAGGTAGAGGAGCGCAGGAGGTCAGGACATCCAGTGAAGGCGCGCTGGCCTTCAGCCACATCTTTGCGCCGAGTCTTATACTGCGTTGCACAGACAACCTGCGGCCTACTATGGCTGCTCAAAGGACTGGTCAAATTAGGAAGGAGCGAGTGAATGACATCGTGGCTATTCCTGCGGGTGAGAGAATTACGTCGCCCTTGCTTCGGGAAGCGCAGGTCCATATGGGGTAGTGAGTTTGTGACGGGTAGGCGTGTATTGGGTTACAAGGGATACCGGTCTCGGCCTACGGGGCATTTTACGACATTGCTTGAGCGCATTCGTTGCCAGGTATAGGTGTTCTTGTAGTTGACCCCGACCTCGATGCACCCATCCGGTATTTTACGCTGCAACGCCAGCATCGTGTTAGTCGCCGGAGTCAGCCACAGCCCCTTACAGGCACACATGCAGAATCAAACTTACCTATGCAATTGGAAAGGCCTTTAGCAGTCACCTTCAACGAGATGCTTGCCATGCTGTCCGCCGGCGGGGGCCGCCTGGCCATACGCGAAAGCCAGACTTCGTGACGATTTACCTGGGTCTTGTGCGCCGTCAGTCCGGTATCATAGCTCCCGCAGACGTCGCATAGCATCAGCTTAATACGCTGAGAATCCAGAGAAGTCTGACGGGGAGGAGACGAAGTGGTAACAAGGGGATCATCGTGGTCGAGGGAGAAGTTATGGGCGTCTGTGTGTAAGATCTTGATCTTGATTGAGTTTGCCGCTCGGCTACAAACGAGTAAGTTCAAACGAACCACCCAATATAGAAACCACAAAGGTCTTCCTTACTCTCATGCATAAGTGAGTGCGCCCGTCGTTTCTGATCCCATTTACTTGCTGCTGATGCTGACCGTCCATATTGACAGTTGGAGGCATTCGAGGATGCGTCAGAACAGCTCTGATCAAGCCTCGCTAGCAACTCGTTCAAGTCTGCCACGTAAGTAGGTGCTGTCGACTGCTCAGAGTGCGATTGCCACCGGAACTCGCAAATCTTCGCCAGCCTAGATGCTTCTCGGCTGTCTTGCCTACTGTGATTCTTCAACTTGCGAATACCGTCGCGTTGCTTGCAGTCCGTCGTAATCCGTTACGTCGACCTGGTGCGTCAATCACTCCGAGTTTCAAAGGCTCCCGCTCATCTCCCTGTCTCCTTTCCGCTGCCGTATCGGTACTTTGTCAGGTATCCCGAGGGCCCATCTCTCTTGCCCGAGCTTGATCCAATGTACGACATCCATTATTACCCGGGCCGCGCCATCGCCATATCCACGCTGTTCGCGCCAGGTACGTTCTGTTCTACGGCGGTGTTCGTGATACGTCCTGATATACTCGCGCTCAGCAGCGAGCGGGCTCGTCTATTCGGCGCCCTTTGCGCCCGTCTCACGGTGCCCATCAGAGATCTTCGGTAGGGCGAAATACCCAGCCTGCCAGTCAGGAGAGATCCTTGTGGGCAGGGACTACCAGGATACGCTGTTAGCCTGTCCGAGACTCGGTCCGGACTCATCCGCCACCCATGGTCTCCGCCCGTCCAAGGGATTCGGGAAAAACCATGAGTAGACGCGCTGCGGGTTCTACACGACGAGAGGGTCGTGGTCTGCGGATGGATGTGTCCTCGCTCCGTGCTTGCCCTGGTTCAAGTTAGAAGGTATGTACCCTGAGGACATGAACTGCTCACCGTAAGCGGAGCGTCCATGCAAAACATGTAAGTGGCAACACATCCGCCTTGTCAAATTCCGTGTTTCATACCTTATCCAGGGCGTACGATGCAGGAGTGCTCTCATGCTGGAGCGATACCCTGACCGTCAAGGGCTAGTCGCTCAGTCATCAAGGCCCGATGCGCGGGGAGTGTTTCACTGGTGAGATGATTGTAATTCCTCCTGATGCATTCGCCTGGCGCCAGGGCAGCCCTGACGGCATAGTTGCAAATACGCTTGCTGCAGCAGACGATGTGAGCGGTCACCTTCACGACTCCTGCATACCACAAGCAGCCACAAGCACCAACTGTAGCTTACCGACGCTGCTGCAAATCACCGCTCACCGCTGTCCCTGGCGAAGTCGTATAAGGGTCTTCGTGTCCTGTCAGGATGTCCCTACATATACAGCCGCCATTTCCATGCCGACGCCATCCGCTTGCATACCAGAACATGTTGCCTCCCGCTTTGTGGACATGCTGGGAAAATGCGCCAAGGAGTGTGATGTCCATCTCTAGGTATGTCGCCGCCGTTTCATCCTCATATGTGGAAGTGTCGGCGCGCTCGCCCGCTCATGTCTCGCAGTGGACGCATAAAAGCTGGAGCTGCTGGACCGTTCTGCATTCTTCATAGTCTCTCCCTTCGTCTGTCCACCCCACGTCAAGTTCGTGCAGTCGCTCCCTTTGAATACCTCGACCATGCTGTCCTTCATCCTTACTCGTACGTTCGTTATCTCCGCTGCCATTGTCGGAGGTGAGCATCTCCATACAAACTGGCAGAACATCCCAACCTGACTGTTCGTAGCTTCCCTCATCGTGCAGACTGCTTCGGCTTATCCCCTTGTAACAACAACTGTGGTGCGTATCTCCGACTCCAGCTCAGAGCGGTGTTGTCCACACAGAAGTCATGCAGCCTTTGGAGGCCAGAGGATGCCGTCAGATGGGCTGCCTGATTGCCTTCCTCCGAGCGAGGGGCCTCTCAAGGTATCTTCTTCCTCACAGGTTAGACGCACAGCAGTCGTGACAGAGATTGACGTTGACTTCTCCAGCAGACTTCGACGAGCCCACAAGTGGCCCTTCCTACCTCCGCCGGTGATGAATCTGTAGCCGTAGCTACGGATGTCGCTACTTCGGTCAGTACTTCATTGATCTAAATCTACAATTGAGATGAAGCTTACTCGGCCCACTGATCATCTGTGACATCTTATAGAGCCAATCCTCCATCAATATTGGCTCACCTTCCTCGGTGACGACGGAAGTACGCGTAGTATTACTTCCGATCTTCTAGAGCAGAGGAGACAGGTGCCGATCAATGAAATCCCGTGCAGTACAATCTCGCAAAGCTCTGTCTCTAGTGTATCCAGTTGTGATATACATAACATTAGTAATTGGAAGGAGGAGGAGCAGATGTCATCCGCGAACATGCAAGTTCATTGAAGTACTTACCTCTCCGATCGTCGTTAAGCGAGGAGACTGGAAACCAGCCCTCTGATCTCCTTAGATGATAGTTTCCCAAATCTGGTTTTACCGGTTAACTATATAGATACTTTAGCAGATCTGTCCTTCAAGTCTAGAATCCGAGTGGTTTGAACTGGCAAGAGACGGCAAGGCGGTCGGGTATTGCCATATCAGGCTTGGCGTA